AATACGGTGGTAAAAACAAACTGCCCTTGAGGCTTATAAATAGGGTATAGGTTTCCTGTTTTGCGTGTGTGAGAGTGTAGGAAAAAAAGGGAGTTTAGTTAGAATCCAGGGGTTTTTTGTTGTATGTAAAAGAAAGTAAGAAAAGAAGGTTATGGTTTCTAAAGACCATAACATTTGTTTGTTATCAAAATTATTTCTATGAAATAGTTAAATATTGCTTCATCTTCACTCCAATTACTTTTTTTTATTATTTTTTGTTCAAATTATTGTATTAATGCTTCCGTAAAATTCCCAACAGAAGGACATGGTGGTTCTCATGGATACCAGTTTGGAGATGGCATGGAAGCTTGGATCAATTTACCAGAGACTGAGATGGCAAAGCTCAAATCGGATCCCCAACTACTTTTTTTGTCTTCAAAGATTTATTGAGTCTATTTGTCTAGGAAAAAAAAAAAAAAACGACTCTGTTGAATTTTTTGCAATATCAAAGTTTTCCAAAATGCACATTTACCTAAACTACGTTTTAAAAAACCGGTTCGGGTAGGTGAACATGTCATCTACTGAATCCCTATCGATTAGTGAACTAGCCAACTCGGATTAGTTTTGCCAAAAATTTTGAACAATTCTAGAAATTAAAATTAGTGGATTTGTGGAAAACTTTGATAAATATGTAGCATATTTTGGTTAAATTATTGAAAAGATGTGAATAACAAAAATGCAGTTCCTTTCTAGTGTCCCGCAATCATTTCACATTCTAAAAACATATGGTAAATCTCAATGGAGACATCATAATATCATTTAAATATCTACATTACATTAATTAATGGCATATGTAATATCTACTTCTCACGTACAGTGGCTCATAGGCACCAGGCATGATGTCCACTCTTTGCCTTCCCAGTAATTCTTAAGGTGAATAATCCCATAAATGTAAGATACAAAGCCATTGGCGTATCCAATAGATTATTATTATTATTATTTTTGGGTACTCCGGGTGCAACACAAGGACTCCTTGGGAGTTCACCCATTCTAGTAGTTCTCTTGCCCTCGCACATCAGTAGCGCAAGACCCAAGTGTATTATTATACTTAAATAAAAATTATTATTATTTAAAAAAAATCTAAACCCACCACCTAATAAAGCCTAGGAAAAAAGAAGTTAACAATATATTTACAATAAATATAGAATATTTTTAAATTTTTTAAGAAAAATCTAAAATTGAGATAAAAAATTAAACTAAATATAAATATTGCTAAAAGATTATGTGAACCCAACACAACCTAGAACGAGAAAAACAACAAAAATTATAACACATTTATAATAAATAGCTTATATTTTTAAAATTCCTCCTCAAAAAAATAAAGTAAGAGAAAATTTCTTTTTAAAAAAATACTGCTCAAAAGAAATAAGGTACCTAGTTTGGATAGATCCTAATTCTTTCTAGATCAAAATCCTCAAAGAAATTATTTTTTGAAATTCAAAGAATGTGTCGGATCTCAACTACGAAGTTGGATGGAGAAAAAACTGAAGATTTTGAGCTTTGATCACTTCGAATTTCTTATTTAGTCAAGAAAATTTTAACTGGTCTTTGATAGATGGCTTAATCACGGAGAATTTGGAACAAATTTGAAGTTGTTTGGTTGTTGGATTTGAATTTTAGGATTCATGAAAGAGGTATTTTTGGGTGAAAAAAGCTCAGGAAAACGAAAAATCAGGGTGTTTGAGCTTGATATAGATTGATTTTCGATCGATTTACACATCAATATTAATGCATGTGGATTAATATGGACCATGTCATATTGAGCATTTTTTATTTCATAATGCACGTTTCTCATACAGTAGAAGTAAGGTGCGAACTGTAAATTTGCTTGGAGATGTAGTTCTAGAGTAAAAAACTTATGATAGCTTAAAAATCTATTTTCCTTCCAAGTTATTAAATTTAAAATTTTAAAAAGAATATAATTTGAGCAGATTTATAAATACTTGACAATCTTAAAAGATAAATGATCTAGATAACTTGTTACAAGATGTATTATATCTTGCATTTGAAATTCTTTTTTCTTCATCTCTATACATCTCGAAGTTGAGACGATCAATTGGAAGATTTTCTAACATCAAAACATGATTTTTGAGGCGCACTTTGTAATAGCAATAGAAGGTTGACACCTTATATAAACTTTTTCTTCTTGGAATTTACCCATCGGATTCTTAGACCTTCTCTCTTTAAGTTTTTTCTTTAAGAAAAAATTGGTTTTGCCCAATGTTTTAGAATATGGTTATATTAGGTAATATGCTCAACATTTTTGGACATTCAATATCTTTATTTTTGTATTACAAAATTTTTGGAACAAGGGCATTTTTTTGGTCATTAGTAGAGGTAAAGATATTTGTACAAGAAATTAGAGACATTCTATTTGTGGTTAAAAAACAATTAATACTTCATGTTGGTGACCTCACAATTTATGTGAATGATGTCATTCTCCATTATAGTTAATAAATATTTATCTTTTTATCTAAAATTTCTACTTTGCTCTAAATTAATTACTTAAAATACTCCTAAATAAAAAAACATCACTATACTGTCGGGTAAGGTATAATAATCTATACAAATTAAAGAAATACTACACGTATAATAGGACTCTAACGTAACTTTTTAATAAACGGATAAGTAACTTGGACCGTTCCTCTGAACTTTTGATCCAATTCACTAGATCAGGAATCTAGATGAAACTCTTGGAAAAAAAAAACATAAAAAAGTGGCCGGTTCTACAATAATCAAAACCGGTTGGTTGAAATATTAGAAAAACAAAAAAATTGAAAAGAAATGTGGAGCCATCGATACGGGAACTGATTGATTCTTTATATTTTATAGGAACCATATCAGCTTGGCTGATTGCCGTTGAGGATTGGGCCGATCCGATCTGAATAACCTTTTTTTTTTTAATTTTGCCATTTCCTCATAATATTATGCGATCCACTCTCTCCATTGTAACATTGTAACTATTACCCGCACAAGGACCACATTTGGGCTCTCTCATGAGAGAAACTGAGTCATCCAAATCCAAATCCTAGAGAGAGATGCTCCTCTCAATTCTAGAGTTACTGACACATACATCCTTCTGGTTCTAACAAATTTGCTTTTAGACCACGAGAGAAGGCTTCATCTCATAACAAACTCTTCTATCTATGAAAACCCTAGTTAAAACTCTAACATTAAGGGAAGGGGGTGTTTGATAACCGATCAAAGTACCCTAGTTTCACCTTCACGGCAGATAAAAGCCGGAACTCCTCATTTCCTCACACACTATTCACATAAGGAAACCTACTGTACTGCTGATCCGATCAAACCTAAGAAAGTACCGCAGTTTCACCTTCAGTGTAGATATCACCCGTTTGACAAGAGTGAAAGTCCCAGCACTTCTTTTTCCCCCACGCAATTAGAATTTTCGTTTTTAGATGACGGAAGTTCTAATAGCTACCCCTAGTTCTAAGTTCGGTTAGGGGTGTGGCTTGAGGAGTGGGGAGACCACTTCACTAAAAAAAATGTGAAGTGCGGCCTCCACCGTACCCATGGAGAGCTGCACTTTTGTTTTTTTTTTTGGGAAAAGTTTATAAGGAAATCGGAATACCCATAAAACTCGCGCGCGCACCTCCTTTCAAAACCCCAAACTTCTTAGAAAAAAAAAAAAAAAAAAAAAAAAAAAAAAAAAAAAAAAACCGGACCCACTCCTCCTCACGTGCTCGCTCTATCAGAGAGCTTTATTTTTATTTTTTTATTTGCTGTTTATTAAGCAGATAAACCCACTGTTAATTTGTATTATTTTCTGTTTAACTGTCAATTTGTAACTCACTGATGAACCAGCAAAAAATCATTTTATGTTAACTGTTAATTTGTATTATTTTCTTTTTTTTTCTTGTTATGGTGAATGTAGGAATCAAACTTATGAATGGGGATTTATTCAACGATTTTTGGTGAAAAGAGCTATATTTTGAACAAATCCGCTTAAACGTGGATTTCTCTCTTGTTTTGCATTCAAATCCATTGAAATCTGGTGCTGATTTTTTCTTGATTCATCCTTTTACATGATTTCTACACTCACATTTTCTATTTTTTAGTGTTTTACTTTCAATATTTTTTGTTCTTTTATGCTCTATTCTTTTATATATATATATATAGCCAATATCACAATAGATGGAAATATCTTTGTTAATCTCAAAATGTTCCTGTTTTCATTTTTGGGTGATTTTTTTTTTTCGATGTTTTTGTTCTTTCTTTTAGTTTTGCTCCTTATTTGTTATGGTGTGCTAGATGTGCTTAAGCATTTTTAATTTGCTTTTGTAAGGACTTATAAATTAGGGTTTAATTCGATGGTGTATCTACACCATCATTTGTAGATCTCTTTCTTAAGGTCTTGACAAAATAGCAGTGAAGGAATAGCACCAGTATGTTTTTTAGGGTTTTCTTATGCTTCTTTGTTATTGCAATCTCTCTATATCTTCATTAATTGCAAAAGTTGCAATGAAGGATTGGCCTTTCTCTCTCTGTCTCACATTTTCAGTTTGTCTCTTACTAGTTTCTGGGTTTGATAGTCATTGAATAATCTCCCTTCCCCATCTTAGTGTTCACAATGTAGTCTCTCTCTTGTCACATTAACTGTAAAGTGCACCATTTTTTTAACTGTTTTACTGAACTTCTAGTTTTTTTTAGGGCTTAATAATATTCGATACAAATAGGCTGTATTCTCTGCATTACTGTTGTAATAATACATTTCTATGCAATTTTTTTGAGAATCTAGTGGCTTATGGTTGTGGGGTTTGGGAGTTATTTGTCATTTTTTATGTATTGCCTCATGGTTATGTACATTTAGCATTTTCAGAAAAAGTAAGCTACAAATAAATAAATAAATAAGTGTGAAATCTCAACATGCAGAGCAAGATAACTTCAATTCGTACTAACTTAAATAAAATATGCAAATATCAAGTAGAATTGCGCAAAATACGTGAAGTTAACCATGGATAGCAAAAAACTGAGTAAGTAAACTGGAACAAGTATAGAGCTTCAAATTGATGAGTAAGAAAAAACAGTAGAGAGCAAGAATGGTGCAGAAACAACAGAAATCAGTGGTTACAAAACCAGTGTTGTAGAAAGAGAAAAATAAATCAAAGCAGAGAGAGTGAAGGGGGCTAAACAAAATCAGTATAGAGAGAGTGAAGGGGGCTAAACAAAATCAGCACAGAGAGAGAGAGAGACCCGGAAGATAGTTAGAGAGTCTTGTACTGTTACAGGAGGAGGAGATGGCCTGCAATGTCGCCATGAATATTTATGTGTGTTGTGCTACGTGCTTCAGGTAGCATTTGATAACTTTCACTACAGTGTCCCTGGGAGCCACCCTGCTGCTAACTTTCATAGATTCTGGGATGCAAGTGAAAGCTGGTACGGTGAAAGCTGGAAACCCCGTTTGACAAATTGTGGCACTCGTAATTTCACGTGTTTGGCAATGGGAAAGCTGGAAACAGCCTGTAATACTATTCATTATGTATTTCATTGATATGATGTGCGAAATGCAGTTTTTTAAAAACATTTTGTAATTAAATAAGGTTCCTTCCATTCATCCAACATATTAACAAAGATGTAAATAGATTCAAAGAATACCAATATTTACATAAATATTGAAAAAAATTGATTTTCTTAATGTCAAAATTTCACTCAATGCACAAGCAGCTCTCAAGAGCAAACATATATTATTTATTTAAGAAATAAATATTTAAAAGTTATTGATTACTAATTCATACAATAAACTTCATCACTAAGCATTGATCAATGCATGAAAAAATTCCAACTGGAAATATGACATGAAATGCAAGGGAAATAGAGCTAGAAAGCTAGGTTCTAGATGTCCATTTCATTGGAAGCAAAATCAAGCACTAGTTCTTAAATACACAGCCATCGGACTCATCTCCTTTCTAACCGGGTTCCAGATGTCCATTTCATTGGAAGCTAATATTTATAATAAAGTGTTGCAACAATTTGCAGCATAATGAAGAAAACCTTCGATAACTCAGCAATAATTTTCTAAAGGGCATTGAAAAGGTTGGGGGGGTCTTTGATAAGATTGCTTTGGTGTCGATTATCAACACCTTATTTCGATTATCAACCACTAGAAACTAGTTGTTTTGAGAAGGTTACCTTGTGAGTTCTTGCTTCTTGGAAGTAGCATCAATAGTTGTTCTCTTCTCTTTGGCATAGGCAACTCACTCAATACAGAACAACAAAGCTCAGAGTTTTAAAAGCCAGACCGCCCAGCACCTGGGCGGGCCAGAAGGCCTGGGCGCATCGCCCAGGACTAGGCTGATATCCCTGGGCGCATCGCCCAGGACTAGGCGGATATCCTGGGCGCCCGCCTAAGCACCGGGGAACCCGCTTAGGCTTCCCGCTTGAACCCGCTTAAGCGCCCGCCTGGGCAGCCACCCAAGGCCTGCGCCCCGCCCAGGGGTGGAAATGCGGCTCCTTGAGGGTATTTTTGGGTCACTTTTTTAATACTAAAGGGGAAAAATTGTGGGTTTTAAGTTTATTTGAAATCTAAAACCCATTAGAGGCTATTTTAGATAGAGAAAATCCCAAAAAAAAAAATTCTATTTGGCCGTTCAGGTTCTGGATGCTAGCCTAGGCGCTGGGTGTCCTGGATCCCCCGACCGCCTAGGTGCCGCCTAGCGCTTTTTGAAACACTGACAGAGCTAACTCAATAGATAGAGCTACATGGATGACGTGAACTGTCATTCAAACAACATCCGGGCAGTTTCTCAAATAAGGATGTGAAGTAGATTAGTTAAACAAAAATACATAAAAAATGACAAACAACCCCCAAATCCCATAACCATGAGGCACTAGATACTCAAAAAAATTGCCTAGAAGTGTAATACAACAGTGATGCAGGGAACGCAGTCTATTTGTATAGAATGTTATCAAGCCAAGCCAAAAAACAAAAAAAAAAAAGCTAGAAATTCAGTAAACCAGTAAAAAAAAATGGTGCACTTAACAGTTAATGTGATGAGAGAAAGACTACATTATGAATACTAAGCTGAGGAAGGGAGATTAGTCCATTACTATCGACCCAGAAACTAGTAAGAGACAGAGAGAAAATATGAGACAGGAAGAGAGAGAGGCCAATCCTTCACTGCAATTTCTGCAATAATTAAAATATAGAGAGACTGCAATAATGAAGAAGCATAAGAAAACCCTAAAAAGCATACTGGTGCTACTCCTTCAATGCAATTTGTCAAGACCTTAAGTCAGAGATCTACAAATGATGGTGTACATACAGCATGGAATATTTACAGGTTCATTCATTAGCAAATGAAGAAGTGCACATTTATCACACCATAACAAATACAGAGCACAAACAAAAAAAAGAACGCAAACGTAAGGGGAAAAAAAAAAATCCCCCAAAATTGGAAAACGGGGACAGTTCGAGATTAAAAAAGAAAACTAAAGAAGAAAAAACAAAAATCACCTTGCTATATTTGAGGATTATCAGAAGGTGATTGTTTTTAAGCACAAAAAAAAGTACAAATAATCAATGGTGATATTAGCTATATAAAAATAATAAAAAACTAAAGAACAAACCCCCAAATCGTTAACAGGAATCCCTACATTGAGAATAACCAGGACAAAATATATATAATACAAATTAACAGTTAACAGAAAATGAAAAATAGAAAAATTCAAATTTCGAGTTTTTTTGCTTATAAACAGTAAAAAGTTACTGAGAAATGGATCCCTATATTGAGAATAACCAAAAACAAAAATGAACACAAATTAACAATTAACAGAAAATGAAAAAAATATAAATTAATATAAATTAACAGTTAACAAATTGCGGGCTTATCTGCTTAATAAATAGTAAAAAAGGTAAAAACTCACTAATTTTTGCAGATTATCTTCTTCGTGATGCTTTTCAGCATTGGTAGAACTCTATGATGGGGCGAGTGGGCTTTTTTTTTACTTCAAGAAGTTTAGGGTTTAGAAAGATGGGGCGTCCATGCGTTTTATGGGAGTTCCGACTTTCATCGAGGTAGCATTTGATAGCTTTCACTGCAGTATCCCCGGGATCACCCCTGCTGCTGACTTCTTAGATTATAAAATGCGGGTAAAAATTCGTAGGGTGAAAGCTAGAAACCCTCTTCGATAAACTGTGGTAATGGTAATTTGGCCTGTTTGGCAATGGGAAAGTTGAAAACTGCCTATAATACTGTTTATTATGTATTTTATTGATATAATGTGTAAAATATAATTTTTAAAAATTATTTTATAATTAAATAAGGTTCTTTTCAATGGTTTAAAAAACGGATCGGTGACCTTGGGCTTCCAAAAAATCGATTCGGATCGGCGAATCGGTTATCCGGATCGATAACCCGGTGAATCGGTCAGAATAAAGCTTTAAAAAAATTCGAAAAAATTATTAAAATTCATTATAAATATTGTTTTTTAAGAATTCAATAAAAAATGAGGGTACTCCATTAAGAATTTTCATGTTTTTGAATGAATATGCGAATATTGATATGTTCTTTCCCTGCATGAACCGCCATTCAGCATTTAATTTATAATATTTCGTGCTTATCCCTACACTGTTGCTGTTGGGACTCGATATGTGAATAATATGGCTGGGATATGGTGGCCTCAGAATCATCATCTCTCTCATTTTCTCTTTGAATAATATGGATTAAAAAAAAAAATAACAAATTTTCAAAAAAATTGATCATGGATTAAAAAAAAAGTCACAAATTTTCAAAAAATTCTATCATGGATTACAAAAAAAAATTCGATCATGGATTAAAAAAAAAAAATCACAAATTCTCAAAAAATTCAATCATGGATTACATAAAATTCGACCATGGATTACATAAAATTCGATCTTGGATTACATAAAATTCGATCATGGATTACAAAAAAAAACAAACAAAAAAAAACAAAAAATTCAATCGTGGATTACAAAAAAAGAAAAAAACAGTTCGATCATGGATTACAAAAAATTCAATCA